GCATCACCACTAACTTTCATTTTAAACTGGAAGAGAATGACTTGCTTTTGTTTTTCAGAGAAACAAGAGCTCTCCAAAGTTAAGGCTAGGTATGATGCTCTTATTTATTTTGATATAGCTGATTCGTAATTCAGTCACTATAGAATATGATCCATGAAAGATGAAGGGTTTGATTTGTCTGCTCTACACATTTCACAGACAGTTCAGTGCAAGATGATGGCTCTGCCCACTTCCCATTGTTAGATGATGGCCCCATCCCTTGCCCCTTTTAGATAAGAGCTCCCCACATTTCCTCATTTAGATAACTCCTTCTCCTCCTCCCCTTACTCCATTTCCTTTCCTCTTTTTAGTAATTGCCCCTCCCCTTTCTGCCTTTTAGATAACTATTCCTCTACCTTTAATTGATAGCTCCTCTCCTCTCCTTGTTTAGATAATAGCTCCTCTCCTTTCATCTTTTACATGCCAACCACTCCCTTTTTTGCCTTTTCGATAATAACCCCTCCTCCCTCAGATTATAGTCCCTCCCCTTTCCTCTTTTTGATAGTAGCTCCTCTCCTCCCTTTTTAGATAATCCATCCCACTTTAGCCCTTCTAGGTGATAATTCCTCCCTTTCACCTTATAAATGAGAGCTCCCCCCCTTACACAGCATTACTGTTTTTTCAGACGATTGATCAGATGTGCCATTTAAATGTGCATATCACCTCTTTTCCTTTTTGTGATAGTTGGCTTTTCCTTTTATGTAGACAGAGCACATTGCCAAATGTATTTGTTGCTGAGCTCTCCAATGTTTTTTTGAATAGTAATGTTATGGCAGTGACTAGCCTTTCTGTAATTAAAACACATCTAGCAAATTGTGTGAAATGTGGTTTAATCAAGCTGACCCAATCTATGTTTCAGGATGTGCTATTGGGTCTTTCATTTATTGTGTCAAAGGTTTTTAGAGGTTAAACACACTCAGAAAACCAAGATTTAATGTTCTACATGACCACAAAGTGCACACAATATTTTTGAAGAGTTGTCAATATTCATTTACCTTGTATTTATTTTCTGTTCACTGTTCTGTTGTTTAGATTGATTAGAAAAAAGTGTTTCTAGCTTTGTTCCCTGCTGCACTAAAAGGCTGTATCAATGCCGCTAAGAAGACCAGCCATGTGATTTCAGGACAAGGAGGCTTCCGGAAGCCTGCAGGTAGAACGTGGCCAGGCTTCCACAGTACGGTGACGGTCCTGTCCCCTGTGAGGCCCCGTGTGCCAACGTGCCACCCCCTCTCCATTCTGCCACTTTCCAAAGCAGTTTCCAACATGGACACATTTTCTTATTAGTTGGCCTTATTATAATGCTTAAATATGGCTTAATTTTGGCAGAATGCATGCTGCTGTACCGAGACGTGTATGATGTATACTATGGCATGCCTGGAAAACTCTCCTGCTCTGTGTCCTAAAATGCCAGGAGAGTAGCGACTGATCCAAACTCCACCTTCAGCTGTGCAAAACACTGTGGTTCACCAGTTTGCAATTTGTGGTCATTTTATAGGACAAAAAATAGCTAATTAGAAAGTTTATTCTTAGCTTCAGTCCCCACCAGCCACAGAAGGTCAGGGTTATATGACTCAGCAGTTCAAAATCATCAAGATGCTGAAGTTTCTAAGAAATCTTATCTGAGTCTGAAGATCCCTTCCAGATGTGAAAAGGTTATACAAAGTGCAGGTTGGGAACTCGGATGTTTTTGTGAACATACTTTAGTGTTCGCAGTATTACTCTCAACTCACTGGCAAGCTGATAACTTTCCTGTTCCTGTTCTACATTTAAGTGCCCATTAGTGTTCGTTTAAAAATATATTTTACCCAACAACACGCATTTCTCTTCCTGTGTATGCTGAAGTAAACAGGAAGTCAGGTATGCGTGCTTTTAAGCCATTTTTAGGTGTCCGTTTTGGTGGGCAGGCTTTTCCAGTAACAGCAGGGCGGTGGGTGTGGCTTGAGGTAACAGGGAATGTGGGTCTTTTCCTGTGATGGACCGGCGTCCACACAGGGTGTCTATGCTTCCTGGGATATACTCCAGGCTCACTGTGGACCTACAATCATAAGTACCTCGGTTACACTTTTGCACAACATGGAAAAAACATACACTGTCAGTCTTAAGGGGAATATAGTAGATGAATGGGCACAAGTTACAACAGCTGAAGCTAACACTGAAATACCACTGCAAGACCAGGGGACATCTGACACCTGACACCTATGAGCCCTTAGTTAGCGGGGGGTGGCAGTGACTGTGCACAGGATGTCTGCTGGGTTGAACTTCATTAGGTAAGATTGAGCTGTAACACTGTACACAGAAATCATCTCAGATTGCCCCTTCATGAGGCCTGAGACTCTTCATCCATCAGGCTGATAACACGATGAAAGATGCTCTTACAGCAGGATTCTCTCTGCTTTTTACCTTTTACAGTAATGCAATGAAAAGGTATAAGGGCCACAGAGAAGAAGCAACGGCTATTTGGAGAAGCTGAAGGACTTTAGCTGCATGTTTGTTCCCCTGGTTAACCACATGAAAACATGTACTCTGTAGACGTCCTCTGTGAGGCTGACCGACTCCTCTTGTGGTGTGTCTCTGTAGACGTCCTCTGTGGGGCTGACCGACTCCTCTTGCGGTGTGTCTCTGTAGACGTCCTCTGTGAGGCTGACCGACTCCTCTTGCGGTGTGTCTCTGTAGACGTCCTCTGTGAGGCTGACCGGCTCCTCTTGCGGTGTGTCTCTGTAGGCATCCTCTGTGGGGCTGACCGACTTCTCTTGCAGTGTGTCTCTGTAGACGTCCTCTGTGGGGCTGACTGATTCCTCTTGCGGTGTGTCTCTGTAGGCGTCCCCTCCTCAATGATAAGCTGCACAGACACATGGCCAGCGTGAACTGAGATAATCACAGACACATTTCCCTGGAAATGCTACACAGCTTCTGAAAAAGAACGAAAACGCCCCTCTGGGTGCAATAAAACTGTTTAATGTGTACTTCTGAAAATATATATAAACCTCTCGTCTATGTTCATATCTTTCTTTTCATGATTCGTGTTTCTGTCTCATGTTTATACCATACAGTATGTGGATCAGGAAAGACACAGGAGAGTGATGAATGAGACGTTTCCAGGTCCTGGACCTTCATGGTGTCCCTATCCAGAGCAGAACACTCTGGGTGTCAGAGATGTGCTTCCTTGACATACAGTCAGGACCATAAATATTTGGACACTGACACAAGTTTTACTATTTTACCTGTTTACTGAAATATATTCCAATTGAAGTTATACAATGGGCATGGACATAAAGTGCAGACTCTCAGATTCCATCTCAGGGTTTCCACATTCAAACTGGATGAAGGGTTTAGGAGTTTCAGCTGGTTAACATGTGCCACCCTCTTTTTAAAGGGGCCAAAAGTAATTGGACATTTCACTTAAAGGCTATTTCATGGACAGGTGTGGGCAATTCCTTCGTTCTTTCATTATCAATTAAACAGATAAAAGGCCTGGAGTTGATTTGAGGTGTCTTGTTTGCATTTGGAAGATTGAGGTGTGAACATACAACATGCGGTCAAAGGAAGTATGCAGGTGAAACAGGCCATCCTTAGGCTGTGAAAACAGAAAAAAAACTATTTGAGAAATGAACATATTAGGAGTGGCAAAATCCACAGTTTAGTACATCCTGAGAAAGAAAGAAAACATTGGTGAACTCCTAATATGGACAACAATGGTGGATGATCGCAGAATCATTTCCATGCTGAAGAGAAACCCCTTCATAACAGCCAACCAAGTGAACAACATTCTCCAGGAGGTAGGTGTATCAATATCCAAGTCTACCATAAAGAGAAGACTGCATGAAAGCAAATACAGAGGGTTCACTGCAAGATGCAAGCCACTCATAAGCCTTAAGAATAGAAAGGCTAGATTAAACATCTAAAAATGCCAGCACAGTTCTGGAACAGCATTCTTTGGACAAATGAAACCAAGATCAACATGAATCAGAATGATGGAAAGAAAAAACTATGGAGAAGGGCTGGAACACTTTATGATCCAAAGATCATCACATCATCTGTAAAACATGGTGGAGACAGTGTGATGGCTTGGGCGTGCATGGCTGCCAGTGGCACTGGGTCTTTAGTGTTTCTTGATGATGTGACACAGGATGGAAGCAGCCGAATGAATGCTGAGGTGTTCAGAGACATCATGTCTGCTCAAATGCAGCCAAATTGATTGGGTGGCGTTTCATAATACAGATGAACAATGACCCAAAACACATAGCAAAAGCAACCCAGGACTTTATTAAAGCAAAGAATATTCTTGAATGGCCAAGTCAGTCACCTGATCTCAACCTCATTGAGCAGGCATTTCACTTGCTAAAGACTAAACGACAGAAAGACCCTCAAACAAACAGCAACTGAAAGCTGCTACAGTAAAGGCCTGGCACAGATTAAAAAGGAGGAAACCCAGCGTCTGGTCATGTCCATCAGTTCAAGATTTCAGGCAGTCATTGCCTGCAAATGGTTTGCAACTAAGTATTAGAATTCAACATTTTATTTGCAGTTATATTAATTTGTCCAATTACTTATGAGCCCCTGAATAAAATTTCTTTAGTTCCCCACATTTTTATGCAATGTTTTTGTTCTACCCACTGAATTAAAGCTGAAAGTCTGCACCTGAATTGTTTCTTTTAAAATTTATTGTGGTAATGTACAGAACTTAAAAATTGAAAAACTCGATCCAATTATTTATGGTCCTGACTGTAGTAGAGTGATGAGGAGATAATGGGGGGAAGCGCTGAGCCCCCAGTGCCCTGACAGGCGTTTCTGCTGCGTTTCCAAGGCCCCTGCGTTATTACAGCTGCACTGATAGACCACACTGATGCAGGCCAGGATGGTGCAGACGCGTTGTCATGGCGATTAAACACACACAGCTGTGGCAAACGATATTGAAAAAGCCAGAGGGATCAGTGACCTCACCTAGCATAGATGAATATGTCCTTATATTTCCCTTTATTTTGATAACATAGTTTGCTTATTTTTCATAAAGGACCTGTGAGTTTGCAGACATTTGCACAAGGTAATTCCTGTTTTACGAGGGAAATGTTGCGTCCTGAAGCGAGACTGAACGGCTGTGTTTGCCAGATGCTTTTAATCACTCAAGTTTACTTTTGGGGTGTTAATCTTATTTCTTTTACAATCTTTTTTTCTTCATTGACACTTTAGCTTCCTGAAATCGACAGTATAACGTCTACGGCTGTCATTTCTGGGCAGACTTTAATCTCTGGGGAGCTGCCAGCTTGATCCTTGAACTGCAGGAAGCCTGTGAGTCTCACATCTGTGCTTTGAATGTGTATTTATATAAAGGCCTATTTCAGGAATGTGTCATTAACTGGAAAGAGAAGGAGTCTGACTCGTCTCCTAATGCTTCAGCTTTGGCTGATGAATATTCACAGAAGAGCCTGACCAGCTAAAATAGATGTTTGGATATCGGCTGAATCATCCAGCTGGAATGCTGCCCCAATGCTTTCCATCCGCATGCAGTGCTGGGAAAAATCCCCACAGTAACACTGCTGTCTTCCAGTCTTAGGACCTGCCATGGTCACTGTGCCACCGCTGATGACTCTGCCAGTGCTGCCACCAAAGCTGCCGCTGGTTCTGTTTTTGCCCATGCCACCGCCCAGTGCCATCTCTGCTCATGCTGCTACCAGTGCCCACCGCCCGGTGCCGTCTCTGCTCGCGCTGCTGCCCGGTGCCCTGTCTGCCAGTATGCCATACTGGTACAGATACAGAGGGAGCGGGCAAGCTAGGTGCAGTGAGCAGGGCACAGTGAGCCCATGCTTGTCGGGCTGGCTGCAGCTGCCGAGCATAGGGCGTAATGCTAACAGAGCCCTCCTCAGCCTCCGGCCCAAACCCACACGTGCTCCTCGTGCAGATTATGCACCTGTGTGACCACCTACTCAACCCGCATTAACACCTATTACCTTCATGCACCTCGACTTACATGTGAGTGAAGAGATTCTGATGGGTTTCCTGATATTCACTCGTACATAAATGTCCAGTATGTTCCAGAGAGAACGATTTTGCTGGGTTTCTTTGCATTGGAAAACAGAGCTCAGTTAAGGCTCAGCTAACACTATAACCCCATAAATCCAAAGTACTAGAAGCTGTCAATAACTGTGAGTTTGCTCACATCCAGGTAAGGTGATTGGTTCTGCCAGGTATCCAGGTGATTAGCGATTGGCTCTGCCAGGTATCCAAGTGAGCTGCGATTGGCTCTGCCAGGTACCCACGTGACTGCTTATTGGCTCTACCAGTTATTCAGGTATCCATAGCTTAGGACAGTGATTGGTAACATGTGACCATAGGGACAACCCCCCCCAGCTCTCACTGTAAAAGGTTGGGCTTCTTTCTCCTTTCCTTTAACACATCATTTGCACCATGCTTTATTTGTTTCACATTAAAAGGAAGTACTGTTTGCCATTGTAATTATGCTGGCTTATTACATACAGACCTGTTACAGAAAGATTTCCACCACAAGCTTTCAAATGTTTTCAAATGTTGAAGCTTCTGTATTTTCTCAATGCCCTGCAATGATTTCACCGATAAATTAATGTGGTATTTCAGGTTAGGTTTCCTTCTTGAATATGCAAGAATACTCAAATTTATCAAAGGATACTCAAATCTTACCTTCAGCTTATCCCAATACTTGGGATTTGTTGCATTACTATTCAGAGGAAAACCTTTAAAATTAGTGGTATATTAGCTATGTTCTCCAAGGTCATGCCCAGTAAAGGTAGTTAAATTACACTTACAGATCAGATTTTCCGGTCTCCGAGCTCGACACATTACTGTATTATTCATGTCGGATGCCTCGCTGTATTAAAGTATTGATCCCAGTATGTAACTCACAGTTCATGTGAGCGGCTGCACTTACAGTACAGCACTCGGCTGCAGAGAGCAGCTCTCTTCTGATTACATTCTCGCTCCTGCCGACGTTTTATGAATCCAGCTCGATATGAGGAGAGAGCGGGTTTGCTGCAGGCTTGGCGAACGGCTGAAAATGGTTCCTTTATTGATTCAGGAAGGAGGCGTAGAGTAGCCGTGCTGCTTTTTTCATGCGCTTTATGTATTTTTTATGATGTTTTTTTTCATCAAAAGGCAGAAATTGAAGGGTAAGTATGATTCTCCAATGTAGCGATTTGAGCACATCTCTCTGGTAGTGAAGAAGCGCTTCACACTTTACGACACACAGTGTGTCACACACAAGAAAGACACTGTGCCCCCTGCCAGTCTTCCGGTCAACCCATGAGGACCTGTCTTTCTTAGTGAAGAAGCGCTTCATGCTTTAGGAGACACACTGCGAGCCTAACCCCTCCCCCTTCCCAGGTCAGCGCACAATGGTCTCTCTTTTAGTGAAGAAACGCTTCACATTTTAGGACACATAGCGTGTCACATATAGTAATCATATTGTGATCAGCCCCCCCCATCCCTCCCTGTCAACCCACTTAGTGAAGAAGCACTTCATGCTTCATGCATAGTAAACATGCTGTGATCCCACCCAGACAGCCCATGAGGACCTTGTTAGTTAAGTTAGTGAACAAATGCTTTACGCTTTAGGACACACAGTGCATCACACACAGTAAACATACCATGAGCTCCCCCCCACCCCAGTCATCCCATGAGGACCTCTCTATCTTAGTGAAGAAACATAGCACTTCACGCTGTAAGACACACAGTGTTTTCTACCTAGCAAACATGCTGTGATCCCCCCCCCCCCCCGACCTCGTGATGTTAGTGTCCTTTAGGACACATAGTGCATGACACACAGTAAACATACTGTGAGGTCCCCGCCACCCCAGTCAGCCCATGATGACCTCACTCTATTAGTGAAGAATCACTTCACGCTTTAGGACACACAATGCATCATACACAGTAAACATACTGTAAGCTACCCCCTACCCCAGTCAGCCAATGAGGACCTCTCTCAGTGAAGAAGCACTTCATGCTTTAAGACACACAGTGCATCATACAGTGTAAGCATACTGTGAGCAGCCCCCCCCCCCCCTTTCCTTACACTCATTTGGGGAGCCATGCACATCATTCAGGGCAGCAGGGTGGCTCAGTGAATATCATGTGGGTATCACTGTGCCCTGCTGCCGTGCTCTGGGATCCTCTCACTGGGAATCCCGTTTTCTCCCACAATCCAAAACACAGATGAAATGGTCTCTGTAAATTGCTCACTATATGTGTCTGTTTCAGGCTTCACGTGCATAATCACTGCACATGTGTGTAGTGAAATGCATTTCACCTGCTTCCAGGATTGTGCCTGAAAGGAAATATGCAATACTAAGAATGAGCAAATCATATACATAAGGGAATAAATAAAATGTAAACACAATAACAATTTTTAAATCAAATGAGACTACAAAAAAGACAATAGAATAGAGGTTAAGAGTATCTGTATATGGAAATAAATGAAGATGGACAATGAAAGTGTATGTGTGTGTGTGTGCGCGTGTGTGTGTATCTGTGTGTGTGTAGATTAGGTTTATATTTATTACATTTGGGGGAGCAAATGCTTGGTTACTTGAGGTTAAGATTATGGCTGGGTAGGGGTTAAGGTCGTCACGTTGTGATTACAGTTTTCCCCATAGAAATGAATGCAGCATAAATCAAAATCACCTGTCATTGGATGGGTTCCTTGTTAAAGTCGCACAGAAAGAAAAAGATTCCAGTGAGCCAACAGATAGCAGTGATTCCGTTAGTTACAGTGAAAGTCGTCCTACAACATAACCCTCCTCTTCTCCTCTCGTCTCCCTCACACCATCCACGATTCTTTTCAAAGGTAAAGTACAGGTTAATTTGTTTTATGTATTTTTACTTTATATTTTGTATTAATAATTTTTATCTGAATATTTTTGGGTTCCGGAACGAATCATCTGGAGTTTCCATTATCTCTAATGGGAAAATTTGCTTTGATATATGAGTGTTTTGGATTACAAGCACGTTTCCAGAAGGAATTATGCTCGCAAACCAAGGTACCACTGTATTTTGTTTGGTTAATTATGGTGCAGCCTGGGTACGGTTGGGTTAAGGATGTCATAGTTAGGATTAGGATTTTGCCCATGGAAATGAATGGATGGTCCCCACAAAGATACTGTACAAATACAAATGTGTGTGTATGTGTCTGCCCAGTGATGGACTGGCATCCAGTCCAGGGTGTCCCCCGGCTTGTGCCCGGTGATGGACTGGCATC